TGGTAACAGGCACCCTGTTTCCTCCCGGCCCCGAGATTGGAGAGTTTGTTTTCATCCTCCTGTTGTCTGACACAGCACAGAGCAATCCTGAGACACAAAGCAGTGAGCCTTTCAAACTTTTTAATAAACATGGAGTCTTGCTATTCTGGCCAGGCTGGTCTTGAACTCTTAGCCTCAAGCGATCCTCCCTCCTTGGCCTCTCAAAATGTTGGGATCATAGGCATGAACCACTGTAACCAGCCTCAAGGCAGGCTTTCCAAGACACAAGATTCCGCCTGTCAACTGTAACCACGGAAACCATTCCTTAGTTCATTGTCACCGCCATTCCTAACTCTGATGTGAAAATCCCTGCTTTCCTCAACATAACCCAGTTAGGGTCACACTCATCACGGGGCCCCCATTGCCTCTGGTGCACCCCACGACTGACATCTGCGGGGCCCTTCCTGGTGGGCTTCGAGTTTCAGCTTCTGCACCAGGCCTGCCTTTCTGCAGCGGTCAGGGTGGGTGTCCTGTGTGGATTGGACCCTCTGACCCCCCGCCGCTGCAGAGGGGCTGTTCCTTCTGTTAAATCCCTTGTGCCTGAATCCACCCTGTGTGTTCCCTTTTCTCAGCAGGACGTTTTAAAAGCCCAGACCCCCTCCTTGCAGAGCAAATGTCCAGGCTTCGGTGGTCACTGTCACATCCCAAGATCCCCCTTCATCAGGGGCCACTCTTGAGACTGGGCTGAAGCCCCCCATAGAGATGAGCTTGGTGGGCTCAGGTTTAGGGGACTTTGAGGTTCACTGCCCTTAGGAGGGGCCCTCTCCAGTTCTCCACAGTCCCCACCACTCCCCACTCCACTCCCCGGGACATGCACTCCCACGTTCTGCCTGGGCCCTGGGGGCATTTGAGCCCTGGGCCCGTCCTGAGTCGGTTTTGAGGCTGGGCTGTGTGCAGCCACGGAAGGCCGTGGGCATGGGGCCAGCTCACTGCTGGGGACCTGGTTTTCTCACTGTCCAGCTGTGTGGCCCAGGGGTCCCCCATGTCTATGTCTCAGTGATGACAATGCTGGCTGTGTGGGTCCTGGTGGGCCTTGAGTGAGTTCCTCTGCTCGGACCTGAGCGCTTAGACCTCGCCCTAGCTCTGCCCTGTGACCTTGGCAGGTCACCCGGGGTCAGCTTTCCCATCAGAGTGTGGGGACTGGAACCAGCCACTCCCAGGTCCCTCCTCTGAGGTCTCTCTTGGCACTGGTCCTGGGGATAGGGCTTCAGGGGACTCTGTCCTCTCTCTCCCCTCTGAGTCCCACTTGCCATTGTCCTGCCCCCTGAGATGAGGGCATGGACGGCCGGGTACAAGACGGGGCAGGCAACCTTGCAGTGGTGGTAACCCTGTGCATTAAAGCCGGGCCTGGCACGTGGACCTCCTGTGACCTTCCCCACAGGCCCGTGAGGCCGAGCTCAGCACTGCCCAAGGCCACACCGTCCATGTGCAGTGGAGCTGGGGTCCAGGCTGCCCACCAGGGCAGTGACTGCAATGGTGGCAGCAGGGGATGGTCACTGTCGTGAGCTGAAGCCAGGTGCTGCACTGACCTTGAGGGAGGGCTCCATGCTTCCCCTTCCCACAGCTGCAGTGAGGCCTAGGAGAGCGGGGTCGGCTGTAGGTTTGAGTCCTGGGGTGCCCCTGGGCTGACAGGCCCCGCCTAACCTGCTCCTCCAGTGCCCCAGCCCTGCCCCACCCACCTCCCCTCCTCTCACTGCCCCCCCTGGCCAACTCTGCTGCGGTCTCGGTGCCTTCCCAGCCTGAGCATCATCTGGTGGGAGGAAAGTGAGGGCCCCAGACTCTGTGTGATCCTGGCACATGACTGTGATGTGAATCCTACAGCAACCTTGAACAGTGTGCTACCTGGGCTACTGCACCTGGCAGCCCTGGTTCCTCTTCCTGCTCCTTCATTCTCCCTCAGAGCTCTAATTTTCACTGAGATTTTATGTTTCATTTAACAAATGTCTGTCTCCCTGCTTGAACAGAACCTCGATGAACGGGGAAGGGAAGAGTGTCTGTTGTATAAAAAGTTGTATTTCAGTGCATAAAACAGTGCCTGCCTCAAAGGGAGGGCTCGATAAATATCTGTCGAATGAATAATTGCCTGGGTCAGCAAATGAATGGCTGAATGAATGATTTCCCCTTCCCCTTGGCACTGTCTGGAGTCCTCAGAACAGGTGTGGGCAGCAGTCCCCGGTCTGTGGCCTGTCCCACTAGACTCGGGGTCTGATGCTTGGTCTGGGTGGAGATCACCCACCAGGCTCCCAGACTGATCCTCTGCTCACGGGAAGCTGCATCCAGCCCAGCTGCCAGGAGCTCACTGCAGGGTGGAGGGAAGAGCAGGGACGATCTGCGAGTGCCTGAACAGTACACAGGAGCCGAGAAGCCGCTGCTTAAAATGCAGGCGTTGAAAGGAGTTTCGATTCCTTTTTTGAGTTGAATATGAGATTTCTGAGCAGCCGTGACAACTTGGGGCGGTGGAGACGGGGAGTCCATTCCTCAGTCAGATGGAGGAGGGGGTCCCCCTGGATCTCCTCTCGGGGCTCGAATCCTGATACTTCATCTCTTTCCACCTGCCCTGGGTGTATCTGGAAAGCTCCTGGGAACAGGGTGGGTCCTTGTTTTAAAGGTTGTAAGTTGAGAGCACCTTACATAACTGCCCGGGGTCGGCTCTGACGGGCCTCAGTCTGCTTGCGATGTCACACAGGAAGCCCCTGGGGACTCGGCCGCCCAAGCCCTCCTGGGTCAGACCAGATCACTGGGCCCTGCGGGCTCCTCTGTGAGTCCAGCATCGTTTCCTGCGCAGTAACCAGGCCGGGTCCCCGTGGGCTCTGACTAGGGGACAGTGGGACTCGGGGTTGGGGGCCTCATTTCCTGCGCAGTAACCAGCCCGGGTCCCCGTGGGCTCTGACTAGGGGACAGTGGGACTCGGGGTTGGGGGGCCTGTGTGAGTCATGGCTTCACTGTCCACTGTGACTGGGACCCCCAGGGGGATTTCTGGGGCACGCATTCGCCCACTGCACTGGGGTTTCTCTTTCAGAAACACAACACCCTGGAAGGCAAGAAATGGGGAGAGCTGCATCCGCATCCCAGGGTCCCGCCAGCCTGGAACATCCCCGCCGGCCTGGAATTCCACCCCACGCCCCCGCTGGTCCTGGGCCTGTCCCTATGACCAGGAGATGGAGTCCGGGGACTCCCCAGGCCTGGGTCACACGACTGCCCTAGGAGCCTGGCATCAGGGAGCGGTGCTGTGTGCACCCCCAGGTCCACTGAGAGTAGGGAGGGGGCTTCCCCACAGGTAGGTGGGGATGGAGGGTGGTCCGAAGATCAGGAGACGGAGCCCCACCCCTCTTCTCAGGTGAGCAAAAAAAGCTCTGAACAGTCAACTGAACTACTTAGGGTGGCTGGCGGGAATCTAACCAGGTCTGCCTGACTGTGTGTCTGCCTGTGTGTCTCTGCTGTCTCTCCATCTATCTGTCTGTCTGTCTGCCTGCCCATGTGTGCCTGTCATCTGTCCACTCATCTGCCTGTCTGTGTGTCTGTCCGTCTGTGTGTCTGCCTGCCCATCTATCCGTCTGTTGTCCATCTCTCCATCTGTCTGCCTGCCTGTCTGCCTGTCTGCCTGCACAGCCCCTGACCTCACACTCAGGCTGCGTTTGCAGCAGCCGTTTCCCCTCTGAGCATCTGTGTCCTCCTTGCTGAGTTGGAGGTAGGAAGTCACATTGACATTCTGTGTGTGTGTGAAAGTAAATAAAATTACAGACACAGGAGGAGCAGACCATCTGCTTCTTAGAGATAATGAAATGACTTCTGGCCATGAGCAAAGTGGACACACTGTCTCCGGGGTCAGCAACCCCCTGCTGGGCCCAGGTCCCTTCTGTGTCCTGGGGTGTGAGGCTCCCGGGAGGCCATGGTCGGTAGAAAAGGGTCCTGTGAGTGGGCCGGAGCAGACAGGAAGCCAGAGCCACCCAGGGAGTCCCATGGGGGCCACTTAATCATGGAACTCGTCACAGAGGGGCTGGAGGAGCTGCAGAAGAAACGGGGTGGGGCAGTGACCCCGAGTTAGGCATCAGCAGGAAGCCACTGCCATCCAGGGCTGCAGGGGCCAGGAAGGGGTGAGCACAGCCAGGGGCTGGGCGGCCAAGTCCAGGGCACCAGGCACCAACGTCCCTGTCCTCTCCCTGTGGAGCCATACCGGGTGTGCTGAGTTCCTCCAGCAACGTGACGTGATGGCACAGTGAGACGTCGCCCACCAGGGAAGCCCACGGAGACTCAGCGCCCAGCAACTATGGGGCTGCTCACGGGGGCACCTCTGCCTGGCGCGCACAGACATTCCAGATCCCCAGAAGGCAACGGGCTGAGGATAGACCACGTGGTTTCCACAGGAGTTTAGACACAGGAGCTCCTCACTATTGAGGGAGGCTGTGTGTCTGTGCAGGGAACTGCTGCAGTTAGATTCCCAGACACCAGCCAAGGGCACCCTCACCAGCAGGCCTTTCCCTCCTGGTCTGGGAATATGTTGAAAGCCCTTAAACAAAGAACGTAAGAAACCTAGGACCAAAGCACCCAAGATTCAGTGTCTTTTTTTTTTTTTTAACCCCCGTATAGCGTCTCACTCTGTCGCCGAGGCTGGAGTGCAGTGGTGCGATCTCAGCTCACTGCAACCGCCTCCTAGGTTCAAGTGATTCTCCTGCCTCAGCCTCCTGAGTAGCTGGGACTATAGGCAAGTGCCATCGTACCAGGCTAATTTTTGTATATCTAGTAGAGATGAGGTTTTACCATGTCGGTCATGCTGGTCTCGAACTCCTGATCTTGTGATCCCCCAACCTTGGCCTCCCAAAGTGCTGGCATTGCAGGCATGAGCCACCACACCCAGTCAGTGTCTTGTTATTCTACATGTCCTGCAGCACAAACGCTGGAATCTTGCTCTGAAGAAACAGTATCCTACGAAAAATAAGGCAGAGGCTGCAGAATATGCTGCACGCTGGCCACGAGAATGAAAGAGGCCAAAGAAAAACATCAGGAACAGACTGCCAGGAAATGCAGATCCTCCAGCGATGAGCTTCTACTTCTAAGTCTGCATTCAGGCAAAAATAAGATTTTTTGAGTAACAAATAAGATCAGACCCTTCCAAAAGAAAATACCTATAGAAGATGCACAAAAGAAAATAAGAAAGAAATCAAAGCAGGTCAGTACAAAAAAAAAAAAAAAGAAAGAAAGAAAGAAAGGCAACAAGAGAGGAAAAGAGGAACAAATAATTATAAGACAAACAGAAAACAATAAAATAACAACAGTAAGTCCTTCCCCGTCAGTCATTAATTTAAACGTAAATGGGTCAAACTCCCCAATCAAAAGACATAGAGTGACTGAATGGATAATAAGATGCAGCTATATGCTGTCTACAAGACACTTTATATTTTTTTTATTTGTACAAATTCATGAGGCACATGTGAAATTTTGTTACACATATATAATGTATAGTGATCAAGTAAGGGTATAGGGTGTCCATCACCTAAGTACAATATACTTTTGTTAACTATATGAACCCTACTCTGCTATCAAACCTTGAATTTATTTTTTCTATCTTATTGTTTTTTGTACCATTCAACAAACTTTTCTTCATCCTTCCCCTATCCCCACTCACCCTTCCCAGTCTCCGTTGTCTGTCTTTCCACTCTCTAACTCCACACCACTTTAGATATAAGGACATACACAGGTTCAAAATGAGAGGATGAACAAAGGTACTCCATGCAAATGGTAAACAAAAGAGAGCAGAGGTGGCCACACTCATGTGAGACAAAATAGACATCAAGTCAAAAACTGTCACAAGAGACAAAAAGGACTTTATACAATGATGAAAAGGTAAATTTACTGGGAAGATATAGCAATTATAAATATATATATGGACCTATTAACAAAGCACACTAATATGTAAAACAAACTGACGGAACTGAAGGGAGAAATACACAGAAATGCAGCAGAAGGTCTCAATACCCCACTTCCAATAATGGATAAATCAGCCAGACAGAAGAACAGGGAGAGGGAAGACTTGAGCAACAGCATAGATCAAATGGGCCTGACAGACACACATAGCAACAGCAGAACACACATTCTTCCTAAGCACACATGGAACATTCTCCAGGAAAGATCATATGTTAGACCACAAAATAAATCATAAACAATTTAAGAAGACTGAAATGCTGAGTATCTTTTCTAAATATGGGATGAAACTAGAAGCCAACAGCAAAAGGAAAATTGGAAAATCCTACAAATATGTGGAAATTAAACAACACATTCTTGAATAATCAATGGATAAAAGAAGAAACACAAGGGAACTGGAAAATATCTTGAGGCAAACGAAAATAAAAACACAACATACCAAAGTTATACATTAGGTACAAACATATGGTACTAAGCAAAAGCAGTACTAAGAGGGGTGCTTACCATGGTAAATGCCAACTTTAAAAAGAGAAAAAAAAACCCTCAAATCAACAACCTAACTTCATACCTCACAGAACTAGACATAGAAGAAATTGAATCCAAAATTAACTTTAAGAGATATAATAAAGATTAGTGTCAAAATAAAATAGAAAACAGAAAAACAATAGAAAAAAATCAATAAAACTAAGAGCTATTTTTTGAAAAAATCAATAAAATCAACAACCCTTTACTAGACTAAAAAAAGAGAAAAGATTCAAATAACAAAAGTCAGGAATAAAACATTACAGCTGATGCCACAGGAGAAAAATAAAAGATCATAAGAAACTAGCAAGAACAATTATATGCCAACAAATTGGATAAAGTGGAAAAAAATAGATAC